AAAAGAAGGAAGAAGATCAAAAAATATGTAAAATCTTTGGTAAAAATAAATTTTTTTTAAAAGAAAAAAGCTTTAGTGTGAAGGTATTTCTTTTAAAATAATTTCAAGTCCTAATAAGCCTTCAAAATATTTTTCCACGAATACCTCACAGTTGGAAAAACTGCTTAATGGTGAACCAAGAAGTTTAATTTCACTTTTTTTAATGATTTTAAACCCCTGGCCTTCGAGAGTATTTGAATTTAAAAGGCATATTTCAGATTTAGCTTTATTTAGAGTAAGGCTCATTAGAGAATTCTTCTCTATATAATCTATCGCTGCTAAACTAGGTATATCATTGTTCAATATATTTTCACTAAGTATTACCAATGAATTTACAAATAAATCTTGAAAAAGTATGTTCATCAAATGGAGCCATTTTTTCATTAGATGAAGCTAATTTGAGAGCTCCACATACGTCCTTGGTCTATTTTTTTAAAAGATAATTTTGCATTTATAGGCAAAATCAGAAGTAGCCCTTACATCAGGAACATAATTTTTCATTTCTAAGTCATAAAAATGGTCTATTCTATTTTTAATAAAATCATGTAAAGCAGTTTTTTTATTTTTATCTATGGGTTTAATTAAGAATTTAAAAAAAAGGTTAAAAGATTTCCCATGCTTTTAAGGAATTTAAATTTAAATTAACTTCCATAATAAATGTTGTTAAAAAATTAGAAATTAAAGACCTTGATATAAAGAGTAGGTGGATTAAGGTTGGTGGGCTTTCCCACTTTAAAAAATTATCATAAAAATCAGGATAAAAATTTTGAGTTACAATGGGGGTTATTTCAATAATTGTACAAAATTTCATTTGAAGGGGGTTTACCAGAGTTTATACATGGTTTTAACCTGGGCCCATGTTTATAAAAACAAATAGCTTGGGTCAAGGTTATATTTCTATGGCAGGCATTAAAACTGCTTGACATACCCATTTTAGAAAAAAAAAAATTTTTAACAAAAGGGAAGGGAGGGGGGAGGGGATATATAAATAAATGACTTATTTCTAAATTTCCAAAATGTAATTTAAAAAAATTTTAAAAAAATTATAAAATTAAATTAAAAATTTGATTTTGTTGTATCAAGATTCATGAATATTAGGATTTAAAAAATTAAGTAATGTTTAAATAAAAATTTATCTTTTTAACTTAAAATCTATATGATTGAAAAATGTGCATTAAAAGTGGGGGTTAGATAGTTGTGGAATGTTTAAAAATAAATATATATAATAATCAAGTAGATAAATTAACTTAAAACTATATATGATTGAGATAAATATTTTCATCATTATTATCTGATTGAGTCAAAGGAATCTGGGTGGTAAGTTTCTTTGGCACAGTGGACATTATTTGATGGAATATTTCGGTTTAAAAATAATTTGAAAATGGTTGTATCCAATCCCATTTTATATGATCATAAAGATTATTCTCCATTTGTTCTATGATTATTTTTGCATTGGGAGAGGATTAATTGAATAATTGAGGATATAATATATCACTCTTTAATAATGATTTTATTATATTTGAATAAAAATTTGTTATTTTCTAAATATTTGAAAAATAATAATCTGATTATAAAAATTTGGCTCAAAACATTCTCCAAAATATATATCTTGAAAACAAAATATGACAACTATGGTTATATTAATTATAATGAAGTTACTAGGATTTCAGATAATTATTTATTTTGATATACTAAAATAAGATTTGACTCAAAAGTTTATTTTTTTTAATCATACATCATAAAGTGGCTTAGAAAATAAATATTGATGGAATGGAATCATCTTTCAAACAGGGGTCGCTAGCCTTTACAATCTCAGGAGGCTCAACTAAAAAAATTTTATGTGGGTCGTAGCCCTCCATACTCCCCAATTTGTGGGCCTTCGGCCCACTTTTGCCCGGCCTTCTGGGTTTTATATTAATATATTAGACTTTTTTAAGATTTGTTAACTCTGAACAATTATTCTAAATTTCATATTTTGCCATTCTTTATATTATGTATACAAAATAATACTAGCATATAAATAATTTAAACAATACAAGATATTTCTAAAAATAATATTTTTTAATACAAAATCTATTTATTACATTAAAAAATATTTTCGATTGCTGATATAAAAAAATTTTGCCTCTAAAGAATTACAAGTGATAAGAAAGGTTAATTAATTTATACATATGCCTCAATTGATAATAGTTTTTAGAAACCACATAATATAATGTAATTCATACCAACTTATATTGACAAAAGCTCATGAAACTAATATTTTAAACAATGTTTTATAGAATTGACTTACCAAATCAACAATTTTTGAAGAAGAGAATATAAATGACCAATCTAAATCATAAAACTATATGGTGGTTAGAGCTTCATTTTAGATGACATGATTGAATCTAGAAAGTAATCGAAATAAATTATTTGAGATATTAAATTTCTATAAGATTATCTTCCATTTTACGATTACACAGTTGACCATTATTGCTTATCTAAAATATGCAATCATATGCTCTCAGCAGCTGTAGTAATAATCTTAATTTACATAGCTACACAAATAATAGATGCTGGTTAATTTGCAGTCATAGCAATGACACTCACGATTTTAGCTCATATCAGAATTTATTGTGTTAGATAAATTGATAAAACAAAAACAATAAAAATCTTTAGATGAATTATGGAAATATATTGAAGCCTTAGTTATTTACATGGCAAGGATGCCATATTGGAAATGAAACATCTTGTAACTATAAAATAAGAACCAGAGTGATATCATGAAAGCATAAAATTTTATAATTGACCCACCACCTCTAGTTGGTATATTATATCTAAAAATAGTAGTTTGTAATAATATAAAAAATATATTCGTATTAAAAATTTTACTCAAAACTGTTTTTCACAGAAGAAAAAATAGCTTTCCTAAAAACTCATAAAATAAAGATAGGAAAAGATATCTAATTTATTACATCCATTGTAAGATAAATAATAAGGCGTTTAATTTTGGTTAATGATGCTTGGTACCTTAAGGTACTATCTATCAAATTTGAATTTTGTTCATTTTTCATTTGGATAGGCACAACCAAATATATTTATGATATATATTTGAAAAATCGTGATTTTTGGAAAGCCTCTATGGCCTAGTAGGCAAGAGCTTGGCTTACTTATCCTATGCTCCCGGGTTCAAATCCCAGGAATGATCATGTTTTTTTTCTTATTCTAACTTGGTGGTTCCATCCTTGGGGGGATGATATATAGAAGGCCGGACTCGACCACGTGATTCCGTATTAATATATTAAATAATAAGGGTCTTAAATTTTGGTCGGTATTTAGCAAATTAGATTGGTATTTAAAATATTTCCATACATTCACTTGGTAGTAAGCATCATTAACCTTTAATTTTAATAATATTTTGAAAAAATAGATGGCGTTAAATAGTTGAATGTAAATTATTACCTATGTTTATTATCAAAAGCATTTACTAGTAAAATTTTAAAAATATTAACTGTAATATATTATGCAACTATCAAATACATCTGTAAAAGTGGCATTTTACCTAATATTTTATAAATAATTATATATAATAGATGATTATAAACTTTATGTCTACTTACTTTTTATATTATTTTGATATGGACATTGTAAATTGTTTTAGGAAGAGGCATGATAATTAAATTTAAAAATCAATAATATTGTTGTAGTATTTTCAACTCGGCTAATTACAATTTTAAATTTGTTAATTTTCTTAATAAATGATTATATTTATTTAATTAGGGTTATATAATAATTTAAATAATAATAGTCCATTAAACTTCAAATGTTAATGCTAAATTAATATTTAGTGTGTGATATTGATATATTTTTATCACAGAATTTGATTGCAAGCTTTCATAGTGAAAATATAATTTATATGTATTATTCTAATCTAATAATTAAAATAGTATAAAAATGTTAGTTTTATTAATTTTTAAATAATAAAATGAAATCTATATATTACCAATAAAATTATAAAAGAAATCGTTCAGGGGGCAATTAAAAAAAAATTATATTTAGTTCAAGGGGATTTTAAGGAGCCATTAAAAAAAAAATTTGCTTCAGGGGGCTATCCAAATTTTTCAGGGGGCTCACGTCCCTGCGCTCCCCTAGTGACACCACTGCTTTCAATAGGAACTTTTGAATATCAATAAATCGGTAGGCATAATTAAATTAATTAAAATAAAAAAAGAAACGATAATCATATTTTATAATTTTTATGGTTGATTTTTTTTATAAAGCAATCATAAATGTATATGAATCTCTTGATTAAAATTATACGAAATGATTTACAAATATATTCAAAATATATTCTGCACATTTAAAAGTGCTAAATTTATACTACAGACGAATTTTATCAAAATAATAGAAATTTTCTGAATCCCCTCTTATTAAAATATAAGACAACATTTCTTTTCCATACCCGATAAAATAAAAGGAAAATATCGGGTTTGAATATATTTGCTACTATTTTAAATTTAATCTGGGATATCAAAGGTTTGATTGTATATTATTTTATAATTTTTTCCATTTAGATTATTTCTTATAACATATACTAAAAAAAGAGTTTTGGGTAAATATTTTATTATTTTTAGATGAGGTCTAAAAAGTTTTTCTCACATGGGTAAGGTCATTTTTGGTCGATAAAATTTCTCATTTGCAGGTCTCTAGTGCAAATATATTTTTAATATTTTATTAATAAGGTTAAAAAAATACCGGAGGGGGGGGGGTGTATCCATTTAGCCACATTCTAAATATGCCACTGTACTTGTTAAGGAACATTTAAATTAATATCCATTGTAAGGAAAAATTTCTCACTTCATTGGAAAGTATTATTTAAATAAATTAGCCCAAGGAAATTTAGAATATATACATAAGTTATTACACTACAAATCAAAAAATTATATTTTTAAATAAAATTAGAATAAATCATAAAGCAAGTATTTATATTTCAAATATCCGCCATTAATATAAATATTATATAATATTCAAATACGTTTGAAAGTTATTATAGGAAGACAGTTAATATTATACTCTATCTACTTAGTATACAATATTTTTGCGTTTCCGCAGAATCTTCTGGGATTCTATGAGCCAATGAAATCTTAAAATCGTTATAGTCGATAATGTTAGTATATCTTTTATAAAAACCTCCTTCATAGTTTTTATAAGATACCTTGACCAGATATTTAGAATCAGTAGTTCTCCATTGATCTAGTGTTATAATTGCACCAAAACCGGGTCTATTGGTTATCGGAATATCAAGCATTGATAAAAATAGAGCCAGAGCATAATCTTGTCCAAGATATACATGGACTCTTCTAACATTATCTGCATTGCACTGATTATTTTCAAAGCTATCACTGCTTTCCTTCATGTCATTTAAGATCTTTCTCATCAAAAATCCTGATGAATATTTGAGAATATGATCATTTCCTTTGCCCAAATTGGTGAAAAAAAAATTGGCTATTGATTGAAGTCTTTCGTAAACAGTTTCATTGACCCATGTTGGCAGAGGATTGTTAAGCAATTTGTCCATAGCTACGGTATCCGCTATAGGTACTATCATGACTGGAAAATCCTTGGCCTGAGGCCGACCAGCTTCTTCGAAAACGAAAGATATCATGTCTTTATTTTTTTCAACTAAGTTTATAAATAGTTGGCTATTTGGGAGATAATCCGTGATAATATATTTCACTAAAGATTTACAGTGTATGCCTCCTGAAAGTAATAGGTCAGGTGTGGGGGGTATCTCAATAATATTACGCCAAGATTCACTGCTAAAATTTTGTTCGATATGTAATTCTTTCGCGATTATTACAGCGCTTTCAATACATTCTGGCATCTTTAGGGAGTAAATGAATGTGTTGATATTGGGTTTAAAATCAAAACTAATATTATTACAAATCCATTTGGAAGATGTACTCTCATTGCCAAAAAATGGAGATGGGACGGGTTTTAAATATTTGTAAATTTCTTTACCTGTTCTCTCCATTTGATTTCTACCCTTATCAGTTAGGTTTCCTGGTCCATTTTTGGCAAAATAACTTTTGTAAGATGGGAAAGTAATTTTGGGGTAAATTTCTCCGGGTCTTATTATATAGGTTCTGCTTATTAATCCTTTAAACGGAAAAATTAAATAGAAAAAAATATTTTAAAATAAATTTATTTTTTACCTTCTTCCAAATTCGGATTAAATGTAATTTGGGCATTTGCGACAGAGAAGTATAATATCATTAATAATTTTGTCATAATATCTTATTTTAGCTTAAAAAAATATTTTTTTTTATTTTGACAAACGGGTTAGGAAAAAGCAAAATTTTAGTTTTGCCTAGAGATTTAAAAGAACAAATTATCAACATATTATTATTTAATATATTATATATGAATTTAAGATATTTATGTTAATTAATCCAAAAAAAATCACATACATATTATTTTGCGATAAAAGTATCATTCAAAAAACGTTCATTGTTTGTTAACTTAAAAATCCAGGGTCATAGCTTATTAACAAGATCATTATAACTTGATGGATGAAATTCATTGTTCTATAAAAAATATGATTATTATTGTAAATGTTACAAACTTTACTTCAAATTCAAGTGAATGATATATTTTTTAAAATTTTTTACAGTTTCCTGGAAAAACGAGATATCCGGAACTTAGATTCATCATGTATAGTAAAATTTATATAATATAATGGCAAATCGTAATCAGGCACATGACGTAGCTCTTACATTTTCTTTATGAAGGATTCAATTAAAAAACCTATTCAACCCTGTCACAATGCAGGCCATCAGCCTTTTGCATCATGGAATCCAGCAGCTGTCATGTTTATAATAAAAACTGAAATCATAACATAGGTATTAAGGTTTTGAGTTATGTTTTTTAGCATAGATTAAGAGTTTGACAGCAAGGGGGAAGTTAACTTTTTTTTAATAGAAGTAATAAATATTTTTAAATATACCCGGTCCGGGCCAATAGATACCCACGCCGGGACATATTTTTAAAGCTAAATAATTTAAATCGCCATTACTAACTAAAAATTAAAAAATAATGTAATTAATTTTTAAAAAATCTGGGCCGGGTCTGAAAATATAAAAACCGAGCCGGGCCGAAATTTTCTTAAAAATAATCCCTACCGGGGAGGGAAAATTGTACCTCTGCAGATCTCTAATATATATTATACACATTTTGTAAAAATGAAATAATAATATTATGGCTGAGAATTTAATTGTATACAAAACTTATTAAATCTTTAAAATACCACTTGATTATTAAACCTTCTTTTACTACCAATTTTAATTTTTTTTTTTTTTGATATTCGACTTTTTTATTATTTTTAAAAAAAATATTATAAAATAAATTATATAATTTACAGAGGATTAAAAAATATATATTAAAATGGATACTATAAAAAAAATATATATATATATTTAAAAAAAAGGTGGGTATATATTATCCGCTGGCGAAGGTAAAATCCTTCATTGGGATCCCCTGAGATCTGTCTCATTTTTCCCTATGATTTTGATGAAATTGAGGGCCTCGTTTCCAAACATGCCTAGGGTATTGGTAACGATAGGAATGAACAAAGTGTTGGCGAGGCCAGCGTATTTATTTTTTTTAAGGATTTCTGCCTTTTCGATAGCAGAAAAATTCAATTTGTTTTTATTTTAATTACAAAAAAAATTATTAATTAACAAAGATTAATGATATATACTTATTTACACATTTATTATATACTTATCTTCTTATTAATTGTAAATAATTAAAATTAATTATAATGCTAATAAATCTATAATTGGAAGCATAAAAACGCGTGGTTTAAAATATTGATATTTAGACGAAAAGGGAGAGGTTTGATCCACCCCTCCCCCTTGGAAATATTTAAAGAAAGAAAAATTTGCTTTCATATATTTTTTAAATTGGGAAAATCCTCCTTAATTTTATATTTATAGAAAATCACTTAATAAATTTATTCTTTCTTCCATATCCGAATGAAGTTAGTAGTAATATTACCTTTAATCGTTTATATTTTCACCGCAATCCATCTTATTTACAAGTCTCGTTAACTACTTTTTATGCTACCATTATTAAATTTAAAAGTATGTCAGCACGACAGCCAGAATTGATGATTAATTTTTTTTTATTAAAATTCAATTTAATGTTGTTAAATGCTTAGCTCACACAAGTCTTTCAGTTAATAGAATATTATTTTAATTTTTTATTATAATTGTTTTTAGTGCCTCTATATTTTTCGTTATATTTTGAATCTTGATGCCTATGTGGAAATTTAATTATTTTGCTAATAACTCTTTTTATTTATTTTCTATCAAACGGATTGAATCACTTAACGAAAATGTATACTAATTAATAGGGTATTTGGATCAATTTGTAAAAAGGACCCGATTAAGATTTTAGCCAAAATAATATTATGTAAGCCTGGATTTTTGCTCATAGATAGCAGAAAGGTTTGAACCTATATTTTGCCAAATATATAGGCTTACATAATATTACTCTGGCTAAGATTTCAAAGCACCATTTTTTAAAATCTATCCAAATCGGACCATTCAACACTACTACTAATTATGCATTAAATATTGACTTGAGCTTTATAATTATAATTAGTGCTTTCAAAAGATTGGCAAACTTCATGCTTAAGGCTGCACCTTAATAATAGACTCATTATCATATCATTTTTTTTAAATATAAATTTATTAAAAATATAATATTTTAATTATTTAATTTCTTTATCTATTAAATAATATTTATAAAGAGTGTAAAATCATAATTCGAATAGGAGAAAAAGATACCTTAGTAAATACAATTTATTTGACTTATGAATCACGATTCTGTGACATTATAATTTTTATTTGCTATATAAATTGGTTTCATTTTAGTAGCTGGCAATATAAAACTTATTGATGAATTAATAAGTACTAAATAAGGATTAAATACTGCCCAAATATTCATCTATATTTTGTGTCCTGTCATGATGATTCTTATTTTGCAAATAATCACTTTTTCTTTAAAATTATTTACCAAATGGATTAAAGCATTAAAATCAGGAGACCCTCCCCACCACTTTTTTTTAATATTTTTGGCCCCCTTAGACAGGGCTGAGAACCTCCTCCCCTACTCAAATTTTAATTTAAATTTGAATCCCTTTTTTCTTTATTATTATAAAAATTTAAAATTAGAAAATTTTTCCAAGGTAATAAAAGGCAAAACAATTTTCTTTTGAAAATATTATCATATTAAATATTTAAAAAATAAATTAAAGTGTAATAAAAACGGTACTGGTTGGAGAAGAAATTGAAATAACAATCGACAGTGATGACAAATTTTTCTCATGGGGGCGGCAGAGCATTCGACCCATTGATATTATTTTATTAAATAGATATTATTGACCCATTCATGAACCCACATATAAATTTTTATAAGTCGTCACCCTGCTTTGTTTAAGTATAGAAAGCGTTTCATAACCAGCAATTAGTGGTATATGGCTTCATTTTTAGAAGGTTTTGAGTCGATAAGAGGACCAAACCAAATTTTTAATGAAAACTATCATCTTAGCCTCGATCGAGGAAACTTAAAGGATAGTTTAATCTTGGAAAAAATATTCTCTTGTCTCAAGACATAGCAATTTATTTTGATTTTGCCCGAAAAATATTTAATTTACCCCCCCCCCCCTCCCCACCATCGCTTTAAAAATAAATATTCTAATGTTTAAAATTTCTTAGAAACATCACCCACGCCCTCTCGAAGAATAGGACATAGGCGGTTGGTCTAAAAACTCGCCCATGCAGACTTGTGTGCATAATGCTTAATTTAGTATTCTATTATTAAAATTCAAATTTAGAAGTGCGCTAAAAAATTTAATGAGCTGATATTACATCAAATATAGGATTAAAATAATGATTATTTTAATAATTCATAACATATTTTATTTTTTTTGTATATAATTATTATACTAATATTTATATTGTTTTTAGATTTTTATTACTTGTTTCGAATTGATAAAATATAATAAATATATTACACATATAATTAAATGGTTATGAATAGATTTTAATAATGAAACATATCAAAATTTTTATCATTAACACCCTTGTCTATTTGTAAGGCATTTTTAGCCATACTAAACTCTTTTACCCAGGGCACTTGACGGTAGAGTAGTTTTTATATTTAATGAATAACATTATATTGGTATAATCATTAAATATATTATAATCTCTATCATTTTTGAAAAATTATTCAAAATTTGACAAAAACCTAATATTAATTATTTGATTTCTTTCAATCTAAAAGTTATAATCATATTTTTTAAATTAATATAAATAAAATAAATTTTAATATAAAATGGACCAAACTGTGGTCATCCATTGCGTAAAATATAATTTGCCTGGTTTGTGTTTATAAATATTAATAGACCTTCGATATCGGCGTGCATTCCAGATCCATATGTCAAAATATGGAAAAGGAGTCATCGCTCATAGAATAAAATCTTTTAAAAAACAGCCCAAAGAAAACAAAGAAATAAAAGATTTATACATATTTTTTTAATATTTATTTATTTTTTAATTTATATAAATAATCGGGGCCATTAAATTTGTGACATTCTTTTTAAAATATTATATTATGTATAAATAAAGAATTGATTCAAATTCGCAATAAAAAAAATCAATTTAATATATATATATATATCATATTTTTTTTATAATATATTGAAGAATAAAGTAAATTTAGGCGAAGAAAATGATTAGAACATTAATATTATATTTTAACTATCTAATAATATAATATAAAAAAATAATTAATTAATAAAAAAGGTGTGTGTAAAAATGAAAAATCGCGAAACATTAAAAAAAATATTTTTGTAAACCTTTTAAAATATTATTAATAATTCCCCATATAATATATTGTGAAAAATATTTTAAATTATGGTAGACTATTCCAAACATGTTTAAATAAATTAAAGTTTTAGATTTTATGAACTAAAGAATTTATAAACAAGTCCGAGTTTGTTCGGCTCAAATACTCTTTTGGAAATAATATATATATATATAATTTGAATCTTGTTGGATCGAGAATTTCATTTCTGTGTTTACCCTTTTTGATATTCCGCTGACATCATTTTTACCAAAATGGTTGAAGATTTTATTCCCAGCTAAGAATATTAATTCTTACGTATTGAGTATCAACTAATTGAATAATAACGATACCGATAATCGTAATATAACATAAAGATATAAATTTTCATACGACGATCTAGATTTTGAATTTTCTTATGAGATTAGACTGACATAGCTGATAAAAAGAGAGCCACTTTGATTAGCACATCTAATAATAAAAATTAGAATATATTAAAAATTGATTGTTCACTTAATCAATAATAATTTTAGTTCTAGTCAGCCTATTTTTGAAATCCA